ACTATCTCCACTCTCCCACACCATCTCTCCACTATCCCACACTATCTCTCCACTCTCCCACACTATCTCTCACACACTATACACACTATCACACACTATCTCTCCACTCTCCACTCTCCCACACTATCTTTCCACTCTCTCACACTATCTATCCACTCTCCCACACTCTCTCCAGTCTCCCACACTATCTCTCCCACACTATACAACACGATCTCCACACTCCCACACTATCTCTCCACTATCTCTCAACTATCTCCCACACTATCCCACACTATCCCACACTATCTCTCCACTCTCCCACACTATCTCTCCACTATCTCTCCATTAGTGTGGGATAGGGGAGAGATAGTGAGATAGTGTGTGATAGTGTGTGTGGGATAGTGTAGGATAGTGAAGAGATAGTGGAGAGATAGAGGGGACAGTGTGGGAGAGTGTGAGATAGTGTGGATAGTGTGTGGATAGTGGAGAGAGTGGAGAGATAGTGTGGGAGAGAAGGGATATAGTGTGGGAGAGTGGAGAGATAGTGGAGAGATAGTGTGGGTGATAGTGTGGGAGAGTGGAGAGATAGTGTGGGTGAGTGGAGAGATAGTGTGGGAGATAGTGTGGGATAGTGTGGGAGAGTGGAGAGAGATAGTGAAGAGAGGAGAGTGTGGGATAGCGTGAGAGAGAGTGGAGAGATAGTGTGAGATAGTGTGGGAGAGATAGTGTATGAGATAGTGTGGGATAGTGGAGAGATAGTGTGGGAGAGTGTAGACATAGTGTGGGAGAGTGGAGAGATTGTGTGGGAGATAGTGTGGGAGAGATAGTGGATAGTGGAGAGATAGTGTGGGAGATAGTGTGATAGTGTGATAGTGGAGATTGTGGAGATAGTGTGGAGAGATAGTGGGAGAGTGGAGAGATAGTGTGGGAGAGTGGAGAGATAGTGTGAGATAGTGTGGGAGAGAGGAGAGATAGTGTGTGAGATAGTGCGGGAGATTGGAGAGATAGTGTGGGACAGTGAAGAGATAGTGTGGGAGAGTGGAGAGATAGTGTGGGATAGTGGAGAGATAGTGATAGAGAGTGGAGAGATAGTGTGGGAGAGATAGTGGAGAGATAGTTGGGAGAGATAGTGTGTGATAGTGTGGAGAGATAGTGTGGGAGAGATAGTGTGGGATAGTGGAGAGATAGTGGAGAGATAGTGCGAGATAGTGGAGAGATAGTGTGGGGAGAGTGGAAAGATAGTGTGGGAGAGTGGAGAGATAGTGTGGGAGAGTGGAGAGATAGTGTGGGAGAGATTGTGTGGGATAGTGGAGAGATAGTGTGGGATAGTGGAGAGATACTGTGGGATAGTGGAGAGATAGTGTGGGAGGGTGGAGAGATGGTGTGGGATAGTGGAGAGATAGTGTGGGAGAGATAGTGTGGGAGAGCGGAGAGATAGTGTGGGAGAGTGGAGAGATAGTGTGGGAGAGATAGTGTGGGATAGTGGAGAGATAGTGTGTGATAGTGGAGAGATAGTGTGGGATAGTGGAGAGATAGTGTGGGAGGATGGAGAGATGGTGTGGGATAGTGGAGAGATAGTATGGGAGAGATAGTCGAGAGATAGTGGAGAGATAGTGTGGGAGAGTGGAGAGAATAGTGTGGGAGAGTGGAGAGATAGTGTGTGAGAGTGGATAGATTGTGTGGGATAGTGGAGAGATAGTGTGGGATAGTGTGGGAGAGTGGAGAGATAGTGGAGAGATAGTGAGGGAGAGTGGAGAGAGTGTGGGATAGTTGAGAGATAGTGTGTGAGAGTGGAGAAATAGTGTGGAAGAGTGGAGAGATAGTGTGTGAGAGATAGTGTGGGACAGTGGAGAGATAGTATAGGAGTGTGGAGAGATAGTGGAGAGATAGTGTGGGAGTGTGGAGAAATAGTGGAGATAGTGGAGAGATAGCGTGGGAGAGATAGTGTGCAGAGAAAGTGTGGGAGAGTGGAGAGAGTGGAGAGATAGTGTGGGAGGGATAGTGTGGGAGTGTGGAGAGATAGTGGAGAGATAGTGGAGAGATAGTGTGGGAGTGTGGAGAGATAGTGTGGGAGAGTGGAGAGATAGTGGAGAGATAGTGTAGGAGAGTGGAGAGATAGTGTGGGAGATAGGAGAGATAGTGTGGGACAGGGGAGAGATAGTGTGGGAGTGTGGAGAGATAGTGTGGGAGAGTGGAGAGATAGTGTGGGAGAGCGCAGAGATGGTGTGGGAGAGTGGAGAGATAGTGTGGGCGAGTGGAGAGATAGTGGAGAGATAGTGTGGGAGAGATAGTGTGGAGAGAAAGTGGAGAGATAGTGTGTGAGAGATAGTGGAGAGATAGTGTGGGAGAGATAGTGTGGGAGAGTGGAGAGATAGTGGAGAGTTGGTGTGGGAGAGTGGAGAGATAGTGGAGAGATAGTGCGGGAGAGTGGAGAGATGGTCTTGGAGAGCGATAGTGGAGAGATAGTGTGGGAGAGTGGAGGCAGAGATAGTGTGTGAGAGTAGAGAGATAGTGTCGGAGAGTGGAGAGATAGTGTGGGAGAGTGGAGGGATAATGTGGGAGAGTGGAGAGATAGTGTGGGAGAGTGGAGAGATAGAGTGGGTGAGAGTGGAGAGATAGTGTGTGAGAGTGGAGAGATAGTGTGGGAGAGTGGAGAGATAGTGTGGGAGAGTGGAGAGATAGTGTGTGAGAGTGGAGAGATAGTGTGGGGAGATAGTGTGGGAGAGTGGAGAGATAGTGCGGGCGAGTGGAGAGAGAGTGTGGGACAGAGGAGAGATAGTGGAGAGATAGTGTGGGATAGTGGAGGGATAGTGTGGGAGAATGGAGAGATAGTGTGGGAGAGTGGAGAGATAGAGTGGGTGAGAGTGGAGAGATAGTATGTGACAGTGGAGAGATAGTGTGGGAGAGTGGAGAGATAGCGTGGGAGAGTGGAGAGATAGTGTGAGAGAGTGGAGAGATAGTGTGGGGAGATAGTGTGGGAGAGTGGAGAGATAGTGCGGAGAGTGGAGAGAGACTGTGGGACAGTGGAGAGATAGTGGAGAGATAGTGTAGGAGAGTGGATATCTCCACTATCCCTCACACTATCTCTCCACACTCCCACACTATCTCTCCACTCTCCCACACTATCTCTCCACTCTCCCACACTATCTCTCCACTATCTCTCCACGCTCCCACACTACCCTTCCACTATCTCTCCACTATCTCTCCACTCTCCCACACTATCTCTCCACTCTCCCACACAATCTCTCCACACTCCCACACTATCTCTCCCCTCTACCACACTATCTCTCCACCCTCCCACCCTATCTCTCCACTATCTCTCCACTATCATTCCACTCTCCAACACTATCTCTCCAAACTCCAACACTATCTCTCCACTCTCCCACTTGATCTCTCCACTATCTCTCCACTCCCTCACACTATCTCTCCACTCTCCCACACTATCTCTCCACTATCCCTCACACTATCTCTCCACTCTCCCACACTATCTCTCCACTCTCCCACACTATCTCTCCACTCTCCCACACTATCTCTCCACTATCTCTCCACGCTCCCACACTGCCTTTCCACTATCTCTCCACTATCTCTCCACTCTCCCACACTATCTCTCCACTCTCCCACACAATCTCTCCACACTCCCACACTATCTCTCCACTCTACCACACTATCTCTCCATTCTCCCACACTATCTCTCCACTATCTCTCCACTATCACTCCACTCTCCAACACTATCTCTCCAAACTCCAACACTATCTCTCCACTCTCCCACTTGATCTCTCCACTATCTCTCCACTCCCTAACACTATCTCTCCTCTCTCCCACACAATCTCTCCACTATCTCTCCACTATCTCTCCACTATCTCTTCACACTCCCACACTATATCTCCACTCTCCCGCACTCTCTCTCCACTATCTCTCCACTCTGTCACACTATCCCTCCACTATCTCTCCACTCTCCCACACTATCACTCCACTCATCCACACAATCTCTCCACCCTCCCACACTATCTCTCCACTCTCCCACACTATCTCTCCACTCTCCCACACTATCACCCACACTATCTCTCCACTATCTCTCCACTCTCCCACACTATATCCCTTCTCTCCCACACTATCTCTCCACTCTCTCCACTATCCACACACTATCCACACTATCTCACACTCTCCCACACTGTCCCCTCTATCTCTCCACTATCTCTTCACTATCCTACACTATCCCACACACACTATCACACACTATCTCACTATCTCTCCCCTATCCCACACTAATGGAGAGATAGTGGAGAGATAGTGTGGGAGAGTGGAGAGATAGTGTGGGATAGTGTGGGATAGTGTGGGAGATAGTTGAGAGTGTTATAATCACAATAGGCTCAGATGTGCCTAAAATGAGAGAAAATGTGCACAGTCAGAATTCCGTCAGCCAGCTTCAAATATTGATGCCGATCTGATGTGTGCCTCAAACGGTGATCTGTAAATTGGATCTGGAGCGCGTTGGTGTCGCCTATCAGCAGCAAGTTGAATCATAAAATTCCATCGAGATTTGACGACGCTATGGCGGTTTGACTGGCAGGAGGTACAGCAGCCACTATAGTGTTAGGAGTACAAAAAACTTAGGAAGAAGAATTTGAGAGGGAGATGGTTCCCAGCCTCTACATACCCCAAGAGCCGAGGTCCAGGTTGGTGGTACACCACCACAGAGTCCCCAACCACGAAGAGTCTCAAAACAAACCCTCCAAGGGGCTACACCAAGTGAAATGTAACACTACACGAAGTAGCGTTACTATTTTCACTATTTAATATTTATCCGCGTCCCTTGGGCTTGAAATCTTGAGCTCTTGGTCTTGGTTCTTCAAGATAAATTCTTCTTGAGTTGATGGGGGCTTGCTGCACACACCTGCGACGCGATGGACACTTCACACTTGACAAAATAGAAAAACACATGCGACACGCAAACGACGACTTGACATGCGAGTTGTAAAAACTCACTAATGTCTTGACCGACACACACCACATTGTGAGACACCATTCAAACACACACACAAGCACTAGATAGCAATGACATAGACTCACAAGTCATTCCATGCCATGCATGCACACACACAAACACGGACGACAAGCCGAGTGCAAGCCATAGGGTTGCACCAACAAACTCCCCCTCGGATTGTTGGCCTTAGAATCTGCTCCCCTTAGTTCAGAGCCATCCCAGCAAGCTTGCAACACTTCCAATGCTGCTGCTCAACCAGCCTCTTGGTCATCATATCAGCCGGCTGCGCCGTCGTCTTCACGTAGTGCAACTCCACTTCACCCGCGGTTACCATGCTCCTCACCCAATGCCACTTCACCTTCATGTGCTTGGTAAGGCCATGAAGAACGGGGTTCTTAGCCAATGCAATAGCACCCTGGCTATCACAGTAGAGGGGGGTAGGTCCTTGCTGCTCCTCCCCCAATTCAGCTAGCAAACGCCGCTGCCACACAACCTCTCTTATGGCACGGAAGAGTGCCATGTACTCGGACTCCACCGAGCTCAATGCTTGGTCCACTTGTTTCTTGCTCTCCCAAGCTGTTGGTCCTCCACCAACACAGCAGATGAAGCCTCCCACACTTGTCATGTCCTCTGGTTCTGATGCCCAAGATGCATCAGAGAAGGCGGTGAGAAAGAGCCTCCCGGGTTCGACTCCATCCGCACCCTTTTGACGCCTTTGTGCCGCCGCGGAGTATTGCAGTCCAACAGTTGCTGTTTGGCCAAGGTACTTGGCCACCCTCTCTCCAGCTGCTACCTGCTCTTCATTAGGGCATTGGACAACCCTAGCTAGCTGTCCGGTAGCAAAGGCTGCATCCGGCCTTGTGTGAACGGCCGCATACATGAGGCTGCCCACCAAGGAATGAAAACGGCGCCTCTCCTCTTCACCAACACTTTCCTCTGCTGGTCCTTTCACACACTTGAACCCTGAGGGAAGAGGAGTAGCCACATGACCTTCACTCTTTCCAAAGTTTGCAGCCAAGGCCTCCAAGTACTTCTTTTGATGCACTCGCATCCACCGCTTCTCCACATCTCGCTCAATGTGAAGCCCAAGGTAGTAGTTGACGTCACCAAGGGTCTTGCACTTGAACTTGTCTTGAAGCTTCAGCATCACCTCCTTCACAAGGTCAGAGGAGGGTGAGAATATGAGGATGTCATCCACATAAACCACCATGAAGCTCCTCTGCTCCCCCTCGCCAAGCATGAACAATGATTGATCGGCCGTTGAGGGAGTGAAACCGATCGCCTCCAAGACTTCCCGCAGCTTGATGTACCATTGCCTAGGGGCTTGCTTGAGGCCATAGAGTGCTTTCTTCAGCTTCCACACTCTGCCACTCCCATCATTGTACCCCTCTGGCTGCTCCATGTAGGTCTCTTCCTCCAAAACTCCGTTGAGGAAGGCCGTTACGATATCCATTTGCTTCACCACCCATCCTTTGATGGCCGCCGCGGCGAAGAGGGTTCGAAGGGTTGTACCCTTTACCACAGGAGCATATACTTCATTGTAGTCCTTCTTCTCCTGCTGCTGGTACCCCTTGGCTACAAGTCTGCTCTTGTAGCGCTCAATGTTGCCGTCGGCGTCGGTCTTGCGCTTGAAGAGCCACTTGGAAGAGATCGCCTTACGCCCCGGGGGTAGGTTCACCAAGTCAAACGTGTCGTTCTCGATGATGCTCCCCATCTCTTCATCTGAGGCCTTCTTCCACTCCTTCCCATTGGGGCCCTCCCAAGCCTCCTTGGGATTTGTAGGCTCCCCCGGTATCTCCACCGGAGAGAAGAAGGCAAAAGCGCACTCCTCGCTTTCATCTTCCGCTTCATCGCCTAGCATGAGAGCCGAACCGGTCAAGGTTGAGTTGGCTGCTCCTCCAAGCCGTTCATAGCTCAACCTATTGGGGGGCTGAGTCCTCCTTCTCCCCCTTCCTTCCTCCTCTACTGCAGGGACTTGGATGCTCTCATGGCGTTGCTGCAAATCTGCTCGGTTCCCGCGAGCACTTGTAGCACGAGGCGGAAGTGACGGTGTACGCTCATCACCTTGCTGCACCTCCTCCTCCTCTTCTCCCCCATTCATTTGAGGAGATTGCCTTGTGATAGTGCTGCTGCTACTCAGCTCCAAGGGCAGCTCCACATGCTCCAAGCCGGTACTCTTCACCTCTCCAAGCCGCACACCAATCTTCGCTTGGTTCTCCGCCTTCCACTCCTTGTACGGTAAGTTCTCCATGAACTTGCAATCTCTGCTCACCAGGAACTTCTTGGTAAATGGGTCCCAAAGAAGCCATCCCTTGCTGTTTTGAGCCATGCCCAAGTGCACGGCCCATGTTGCCTTGGCATCAAGCTTGTTGTGCCGAAGTTTCTTAGGCACAAGTGCCATGCACATGCACCCGAACACCCGAAGCATATCCACCTTCGGCTTCCTTCCAATCCACTCCACATAGGGCACCCATTTGTCTTCTCCCACGTGAGTCAAGGCTCTGTTCTTGGCCACACAAGCATGCCGCACCGCATCCGGCCAAAAGTAATTGGGAAGACCGGCTTCAATGAGAAGTCCCCGAGCCGTCTCCGTGAGTGTCCGATTCGCACGCTCGGCAATGCCGTTCATTGCAGGAGAGTAGGGCATGGTAAGAGAGTGCCTTATGCCCTGCTTCTTCAGCCAAGTTGAGAAGTTCTTGCTCAGGAACTCTCCCCCACGGTCAGTGCGAATCGCCTTCACAAGTCGGTCTTGTTGCCGCTCCACCATCGGCAACCAATCGGTCTTCACCGTTTCAGCCACGTCACTCTTCTTGGGCAGCACATATACCCAAGTCATGCGAGTGTAGACGTCCACAATGGTGAGGAAGTACTCAGCTCCAGCAGCTCCAAGCTTCAAGGGACCCACCACATCCATCACCACCTCATCAAGTGGTGCCTTCGCCGTTGTCTCCGAGCTATGGAACGGGTAGCGGGTGAACTTGGCTTGCATGCATGTTGGACAGCCAAGCACCTCATTGGGCTCCCCCTTGACACGTATCCCACTGACCATGTCTTGCTTGACTATCTGCTGCAAAATGGGCAATGCCACATGCCCCATTCGCCGATGCAAGGTCAGCCAATCACACTCTCCCGTAGCGGAGGTCGGGTTGGAGAAAGCGGCACTCGCAATTGTGCCCCACAAGCTCTCTCCTTTCTCCTTCGCCGCTGCTGTTTTGCTGATCTTATGATTCTCCTCCTCATTTCCACCACCTTTGGCTGCTGCACCACTCTCCTTGGATTCACATGCCTTGCTGGTCTCTCCAAGATTGCACTCGTTCGAGTCACTCTTGGTGTCACTTTGCTTTCCGTGATCACCGCCACCAACCGCTTCACTCTTGGTGCTGATGCTTGCTGCCACTTGCCTCTCCTTAGGCATGGGGACCACTGGGATTTGCCACATTTCATTGTAGATGTCCCTGTCCTCATGAAGGTCCCAAAGCTTCCGCTCACCAAGCCGCGCGGTATAAGTTTTGGATCCCTTGGAAGATGTGTCCATGCCGGCCTTTTGCAAATGCCGCACAGAAATCAGGTTGGCTGCAAGGTTGGGCACCCAAAGCACGTTCTTGAGGCCCACCATCTTCCCATCAGCACCCTTGAACATGGCCTTGCCCATGCCTTTCACCTCTGCTCGCTGCCCCAAAGCCGATGTGACATGCTTGACCGGCGACGGTTCGAGTTCGGTGAGCAAGTCCGCACGAGGTGTCATGCTATAGGTGGCGCCGCTATCGATCACCCAAAAGTCCAGAGAGTGAAGGGTGACCTTTCCCACAGTAGCTGGCTCCTCAAAGCCTTCCACACCTCCTGCTGCAGCTGCCGCTTGCGTGGAGACAAAGAAGAATTGGCCTGGGTATCGATCTTCACTCGGGCCCGTCTCGTAGTCTCCACCTTTCATGCATGCCGCTTCGCTTCCACGACCACCACGGCCTCCACGACCTCTGCCTCTTCCTCCCCTTGCTCCTCTGCCCTCTTGGCCTTGAGAAGGGGTCCATCCATCAGGCAATCTGTAGCAATCTCTCCACATGTGGCCGGTCTTGTGGCAAAAGTGGCATTCGCCATCAAATCGACCGCGCCCACGCCCGTAGCCATTGTTGTTGTTGTTGCTGCCATATCCTCCATTACCACGGCCTCCATTGAAGTTGCTGCTGCCAAATCTTCCTCCTCGCCCTCTGCCCCTTCCACGGCCGTGCCCACGGCCCATGCTTGCAACTCCGGCACCATCGGTACCCGCCAATTCACGACGACGGAAATCTTCTTGTAAGATTTCCCGCTTCACATCTTCGAGCGAGAGGCGGGGCAGATCTCGATTTAGGTTGATGATGAGCGAGGACCATGAGTCCGGAAGCAAGGCCAGCAGCTTGGTCTTCTTTTGAAGGTCACTGTAGTTCAGGTCAGCTCCTTCAAGCCGTGTCAACAAGTCGAAGAATTTCTGCACTCCGTCCGTGTCAACAGGTCTAGGCATGGTCGAGACAGCTCCAAGGGGCTCTGATACCACTTGTTATAATCACAATAGGCTCAGATGTGCCTAAAATGGGAGAAAATGTGCACAGTCAGAATTCCGTCAGCCAGCTTCAAATATTGATGCCGATCTGATGTGTGCCTCAAACGGTGATCTGTAAATTGGATCTGGAGCGCGTTGGTGTCGCCTATCAGCAGCAAGTTGAATCATAAAATTCCATCGAGATTTGACGACGCTATGGCGGTTTGACTGGCAGGAGGTACAGCAGCCACTATAGTGTTAGGAGTACAAAAAACTTAGGAAGAAGAATTTGAGAGGGAGATGGTTCCCAGCCTCTACATACCCCAAGAGCCGAGGTCCAGGTTGGTGGTACACCACCACAGAGTCCCCAACCACGAAGAGTCTCAAAACAAACCCTCCAAGGGGCTACACCAAGTGAAATGTAACACTACACGAAGTAGCGTTACTATTTTCACTATTTAATATTTATCCGCGTCCCTTGGGCTTGAAATCTTGAGCTCTTGGTCTTGGTTCTTCAAGATAAATTCTTCTTGAGTTGATGGGGGCTTGCTGCACACACCTGCGACGCGATGGACACTTCACACTTGACAAAATAGAAAAACACATGCGACACGCAAACGACGACTTGACATGCGAGTTGTAAAAACTCACTAATGTCTTGACCGACACACACCACATTGTGAGACACCATTCAAACACACACACAAGCACTAGATAGCAATGACATAGACTCACAAGTCATTCCATGCCATGCATGCACACACACAAACACGGACGACAAGCCGAGTGCAAGCCATAGGGTTGCACCAACAGAGAGATAGTGGAGAGATAGTGTGGGAGTGTGGAGATCGTGTTGTATAGTGTGGGAGAGATAGTGTGGGAGACTGGAGAGAGTGTGGGAGAGTGGATAGATAGTGTGAGAGAGTGGAAAGATAGTGTGGGAGAGTGGAGAGTGGAGAGATAGTGTGTGATAGTGTGTATAGTGTGTGAGAGATAGTGTGGGAGAGTGGAGAGATAGTGTGGGATAGTGGAGAGATGGTGTGGGAGAGTGGAGATAGTGTGGGAGAAGGGAGAGATAGTGTGGGAGAGTGTTGAGATAGTGTGGGACAGTGGAGATAGTGGAGAGATAGTGTGTGGATAGTGTGATAGTCTGTGATAGTGTGGTTTAGGACAGTGTCCCGCACTATCTCACACTATCACACCATCTCTTCACTCACCCACACTATCTCTCACACACTATCTCTCCACTATCTCTCCACTATGTCTCACACTATCTCTCCACTATCTCTCCACTATCTCTCAACTCTCCCACACTATCTCTTCACTATCTCCACACTATCCACTATCCTACACCATCTCTCCACTCTCCCACACTATCTCTCCACTATCTCCCACACTATCCACTGTCTCTCTCACACACTATTTCTCCACTATCTCTCCACTCTCCCACACTATCCACACACTATCCCACACTATCTCTCCACTGTCCCACACTATCTCCACACTATCCTACACAATCTCTCCACTATCTCTCCACTATCCCACACTATCACACACTATCTCTCCACTATCCCACACTATCTCCCACACTATCTCTCCACTATCACTCCACTATTTCTCCACTCTCCGACACTATCTCTCCACACCATCTCTCCACTCTCCCACACTATCCATCCACTCTCACACACTATCCCACACTATCTATCACACTATCACACTATCTCACACTATTAATCTCCACACTATCTCTCCACACTATCTCCACTATCCCACACTCTCCCACACTATCCCACACTATCTCCCACACACTATCTCCCACACTATCTCCACTATCACACTATCCACACTATCTCTCCACTCTCCTACACTATCTCTCCACTCTCCCACACTATCTCTCACACTCTCTCACACTATCTCTCCACTCTCCCACACTATCTCTCCACTATCTCACACTATCTCTTCCACACTATCTCTCCACTATCTCTCCACACTATCTCTCCACTATCTCTCCACAAGAGATAGTGTGGGAGTGTGGAGAGATTGTGTGGGAGAGTGGAGAGATAGTGTGGGAGATTGGAGAGAGAGTGGAGAGATAGTGGAGAGGTAGAATGGGAGAAAGGAGAGATAGTGGAAAGATAGTGTGGGAGAGTGGAGAGATAGTGTGACAGAGTGGAGAGATACTGGAGAGATAGTGTGGGAAAGTAGATAGATAGTGTGGGAGGGTTGTGAGATAGTGTGGATAAGTGGAGTGATAGTGTGGGAGAGTGGCGAGATAGTGTGGGAGAGTGGAGAGATAGTGGAGACATAGTGAAGAGATAGTGTGAGATAGTGGAGAGAAGGTGTGGGAGAGTGGTGAGATAGTGTGGGGGAGTGAAGAGATAGTGGAGAGATAGTGTGGGAGAGTGGAGAGATAGTGTGGGAGAGTGGAGAGATAGTGGAGAGATAGTGGGGAGGTAGTGTGGGAGAGTGGAGAGATAGTGTGGGAGAGTGGAGAGATTGTGGAGAGATAGTGGAGAGGTAGTGTGGGAGAGTGGAGAGATAGTGGAGAGATAGTGTGGGAGAGTGGAGAGATAGTGTGCGAGAGTGGAGAGATAGTGTGGGAGAGTGGAGAGATAGTGTTGGACTGTGGAGAGATTGTGTGGGAGAGTGAAGAGATAGTGGAGAGATAATGGAGAGGTAGTATGGGAGCGTGGAGAGATAGTGGCGAGATAGTGTGGGAAAGTGGAGAGATAGTGTTGGAGAGTGGAGAGATAGTGTGGGAGAGTGGAGAGATAGTGTGACAAAGTGGAGAGATAGTGGAGAGATAGTGTGGGAGAGTGGAGAGATAGTGTAGGAGGGTGGAGAGATAGTGTGGATAAGTGGAGTGATAGTGGAGAGATAGTGTGCGAGAGTGGAGAGATAGTGGAGAGACAGTGTGACAGAGTGGAGAGTTAGTGGAGAGATAGTGTGGGAGAGTGGAGAGATGGTGTGGGAGTGTGGAGAGATAGTGTGGGAGTGTGGAGAGATAGTGTGGGAGAGTGGAGAGATCATGTGACAGAGTCGAGAGATAGTGGAGAGATAGTGTGGGAGAGTGGAGAGATAGTGTGGATGAGTGGAGTGATAGTGTGAGAGAGTGGATATATCGTTTGGGAGAGTGGAGATACAGTGTGGGAGAGTGGAGACATAGTGTGGGAGAGTGAAGAGATAGTGTGGGGGAGTGGAGAGATTGTGTGACAGACTAGAGAGATGGTGGAGAGACTGTGTGGGAGATTGGAGAGATAGTGTTTGAGAATGGAGTGATAGTGTGGAAGAGTGAAGAGATAGTGTAGGAGAGTGGTGAGATAGTGTGGGAGTGTGAAGAGATAGTGGGGGAGAAGGAAGAGATAGTGGAGAGATAGTGTGACAGAGTGGGAAAATAGTGGAGAGATAGTGTGGAAGAGTGGAGAGATAGCGTGGGAGAGTGGAGAGATAGTGTGGGAGAGTTGAGAGATAGTGCGGAAAGCTGGAGAGATAGTGTGGGGGAGTGGAGAGATAGTGTGACATAGTGGTGAGATAGTGGAGAGATAGTGTGGGGGAGTGGAGAGATAGTGTGGGAATGTGAAGGGATAGTGTGGATGAGTGGAGTGATAGTGTGGGAGAGTAGAGAGATAGTGTGGGAGAGGTGAGAGATAGTGGAGAGAATGTGTGGGAGAGTGGAGAGATAGTGTGGGAGAGTGGTGAGATAGTGTGGGGGAGTGAAGAGATAGTGGAGAGATAGTGTGGGATAGTGGAGAGATAGTGTAGGAGTGTGGAGAGATTGTGTGGGAGAGTGGAGAGATAGTGTGGGAGATTGGAGAGAGAGTGGAGAGATAGTGGAGAGGTAGAATGGGAGAAAGGAGAGATAGTGGAAAGATAGTGTGGGAGAGTGGAGAGATAGTGTGACAGAGTGGAGAGATACTGGAGAGATAGTGTGGGAGAGTAGATAGATAGTGTGGGAGGGTTGTGAGATAGTGTGGATAAGTGGAGTGATAGTGTGGGAGAGTGGCGAGATAGTGTGGGAGAGTGGAGAGATAGTGGAGACATAGTGAAGAGATAGTGTGAGATAGTGGAGAGAAGGTGTGGGAGAGTGGTGAGATAGTGTGGGGGAGTGAAGAGATAGTGGAGAGATAGTGTGGGAGAGTGGAGAGATAGTGTGGGAGAGTGGAGAGATAGTGGAGAGATAGTGGGGAGGTAGTGTGGGAGAGTGGAGAGATAGTGTGGGAGAGTGGAGAGATTGTGGAGAGATAGTGGAGAGGTAGTGTGGGAGAGTGGAGAGATAGTGGAGAGATAGTGTGGGAGAGTGGAGAGATAGTGTGCGAGAGTGGAGAGATAGTGTGGGAGAGTGGAGAGATAGTGTTGGACTGTGGAGAGATTGTGTGGGAGAGTGAAGAGATAGTGGAGAGATAATGGAGAGGTAGTATGGGAGCGTGGAGAGATAGTGGCGAGATAGTGTGGGAAAGTGGAGAGATAGTGTTGGAGAGTGGAGAGATAGTGTGGGAGAGTGGAGAGATAGTGTGACAAAGTGGAGAGATAGTGGAGAGATAGTGTGGGAGAGTGGAGAGATAGTGTAGGAGGGTGGAGAGATAGTGTGGATAAGTGGAGTGATAGTGGAGAGATAGTGTGCGAGAGTGGAGAGATA